GGAGAGGCGTTTAGACGTTTCTGGTGGATTCTGGGAGGCCTTGGGGGAGCAGGAAGGGTCGCATCACTTCCGCAGATCGCATGCGTGTGCAGTGCGTTTTCGGGGGGGAGATGGCGGGGGCAGCTTCTGGGCCCCAGGACCCCCAAGAAGGAGCCCAGGAGCGCAAAAAGCTGGCCCCCAGGGGAACCTCCCTTGGGGCCCCACGCCGTGAGCTGCACCACGGCGCCGAAGATGCCTGGGCGGGACAACGAAAACCAAAGCCGCCCCTCGACCTCCACATGCCAGCATCGTTCGGGGATGGACAGACCCCCCTTCAGTAAAACGTGGTTTAGTGAAAACGACCTGAGGCCCAAACCTGGCGGGCGCAAGCCTGGAAAACAACGGCCACGGCGCCCTCTCGAGAACCGAAAACGGACAATTCACTGATCGACGTGTCACTGTCGGGGGTTCTGTCCACCCCCGGATCGTCTGGGGGCTGACACGGATGCACTGGCACGCGCTATGGATGCGACGTGCTCGACCCTGGACCCCCATGCCACCCGCTGCTCCGGGGCCGCCTTCCGGCGGTCTTCGGGCGGTCTTCGGGCGGCCTTCGGGCGGCCTTCGGACGATCTCCGGCGGTAGTTGGCGGCTTCCAGCGGTCCTCGGCGCGAAAGCTGGACGGCTGCGTTCAATACGGGGTCCAGTATCGAGCACCTAAGTCGAGTGGAGCTCGTGAGCGACCAGAGGGACCCATGCCAATGAGGAGCTCACAGCAAACGGATGGGCATCTGAACGGTGAACTGCGCGGGAGTCAATGCTTCTGTGGCCCAGGATTGGGACACTTGCGGCTGGAGTCGCGGGTGGGACATTCGGAGGCCACGTGCTGGATACGCATGTGGATGGCTAGCGTGCCCATCCACGATGAGGCCGAGCGTTGGGAAGGAATTATGCCATGTCTGTATCCACCTGTGGCCAAGCCAGCCGCATCAACGTGTTCCCGAGCACCTGCAACGAGATGCCCCGCGCGGAGGAGGCAGCGACGTTCCTTTTTGCCCCCCCCCCTCTGGGGCCGAAGCAGTGGCCGCCACCCGGTCGTCGAAAACAATGCGTCTGCCTTCGGCGTTCCGACATCGAGGTGGCGCCCGTGCCTCGGCAGGTGAGGTCGAAGCCGAGGCGCCGACATAAGTCCAAAAGACCAGACCGGCCCTGTGAGAGCAGGACGGTTGGACCGGAGCCCGAGATGCCCTTTGGATCCCCGTGCGATTCATGAGAATGACAGCTCGCGGACGAGGGCGGGCGACGACGACGACGACGACGGCGACGAGCAAGAGCCAGGACGATAAAGATGACGATCCTCCTCCTCCTCCTCCTCCTCCGCCTTCGCCCGCCCGCCACCGCCCACCCTCCCTCTCCCGCCGTCGCGTCTGAGCACGAGTGCCATTGGCGGCGCGCAAAACGGGGTAGGGGGAGGGGGGAAGGCTTCTTAGAAGCACCCCTGCTTCTTAGAAGGCGCGGGCCTTCTCTATAGACGTAAGGCCGAGGCCTTCTAAGAAGCAGGGGTGCTTCTAAGAAGCCTTCCCCCCTCCCCCTTTTCCCTTGTTGCGCGCCGCCAATGCCAATTACAGCACACCTGGCAGCCCCATCCACCACGGGGCCCTGACCGCAGCGACTGCGAGTCCGACAGCTTCCACCAACGGCTCCAGCATCGGAGAGCGAGCTACCCTTCGCAAGCAACCCTTAACCCGATGGCGCCGTACGACTGTCATGCGAGGAGGCCGTGGCGACGTTCGGACCCACAAAACTTGCGGCCCCGATGTTGCACGAATATCACACATGATGTGTGCGCGTGTGGCGTTGGAGCGCCTATCGGGATGGGTGTGCGGGCAGTTTGCGGCGACTGAACAACGCGATGGGCGCGATCACCGCTCACAGCGAAAACCGCGACTCCAACATACACTTGCTCGTTTGTTGTGTGACCTAGCCTCTTGGGGTCTTTTGGATGCTTTATGGGCCATCTTGGGGGCCTTTTGGAGGCTTCTTGGACCATCTTGAAGCCCTCTCTGGCCGTCTTGGGGCACTCCTGGGCCGTCTTGAGGTGCTCTGGGGCCGTCTTGGAAGCCTCCTGGGCCGTCTTGAGGTCCTCTCGGACACCTTCTTAGGGCGCTGTCTTGGTGTCCTCTTGGGCCGTGTTCGGGCGCTCTTGTGGGCCCCTCGGTCCGTCTTGAGCTGTCGGAAGCCCGAAAAGGCGGGAACGCCGAAATCGTTCAGAATTCAACTGATATTCATGAAGTTTGCCTTTCGCGGCCCTCTTTGTGGTCTGGGCCCTCTTGGGAGCCTGTGAGGTCGTGCTGTGGCCATCTTGGAACCGCTCGGGGGCCGTCATTGGACGGTCGTCTTATCCGTCCTGGGAGTCGCTGCAAGGCCTCAAGAGGAGCGCGGGCGGCTGGCCAGGGAGGCCCAGGAGCCGTCCGCAAGGTGCCCCAAGGCGGGGGGAGGGGGGGCGTCGGAAAAGTGCTCTGGGTTTTCTGGGGGGGGGGTCCTGGTTCTCTAGTCCATGCAGGACGTGTGCTAATAGGAATAAGTATGCGGCGTGCATGCCGTCGTGCCTCGCCGCCCACGCTACAACACACAATCACACACAGGCTGCGGGATTAACTACAAGGTACAAAGGTACACTACTGCCGCGCTGTTTTTTTGTTTGAGGATCTCTCTGCGGTGGTCCGCGTGGATTCCGAGCTACAGCTGGCAAGCCAGAGAGAAGCAAAAAAACTGTGGTTTGCCAACTCGAGAACTTTTGTAGACGCAAGTTCTGCGCCACAAAAATCGGCCAATTCACTAATCGACGTGTCAGGGTGGGGGTTCTGTCCACCCCCGCAAAAAAACACAAATCGGCCGAAGAACCTGCGGGGAAACTTTGCCCGCTGGCACTTCGGACCGCTGACAAAAAGGCGGGGGGAAGGGGGAAGGCAGCCGGGGATGAGGCCAAGGCCCCACTCCCTCAGCCGCACCCACTGCTGCATGGACAGAAATCGGGGACCATGACCAAGACAGCACGCGGAAACGTCGTGCCGATCTTGGTCACCGTCCATCTCGGTCAGCGTCAATTCGTGGATCGCCCTCGCGAATCGTCGACGGCCAGCATGGTATTGGCAACGACAAGATCCCGCGACATCTTGGTCCTGGTCAGCGTGTTTCTCGGGGGCGGCCTAGAGGGGGGCGTCCAAGAGGGGGGGCGCAAATCATGACCGGCGGCATGTGCGCGGCCCAGGCTGGGGCCAGGGACGCAATAAAATAGCAAGAGGCGCCATGGCATCTGGGGAGATATCATGACCCCCGCCATGATGCGCCCCCCCCCTGCAACGGGTTCATCCGGGGCCGTAGGCGACCTGAGGAGGGGAGGGCGAGGAGAAGGAGAAGGAGAAGAAGGAAGAGGCGGAGGAGGAGGAGGAGGACGAGGAGGAGGAGGAGGAGGAGGAGGAGGAGGGGGATGATGATGATGATGGGGATGAGGATGAAGATGATGATGGTGATGGTGATGATGAGGAGGATGGGATGAGTCAATGAGGATGAGGATGAGGATGAGGATGAGGATGATGATGATGATGATGATGATGATGATGATGATGAGATGGTGATGATGATAATGATGATAATGATGGTGATGATGATGATGATGGTTTTATTATGATGCTGATGATGATTGATGCGATGATGAGGGATGATGGATTAGGGAGGAGATGGAGGAGGAGGAGAAGGAGAAAAAGGAAGAGGAAGAGGATGATGATGATGTTGATGATGATGATGATTGATTGATGAGGAGGAGGATGGGAGGAGGAGGAGGAGGAGGAGGAGGAGGAGGAGGGGAGGAGGAGGAGGGAGGAGGAGGAGGAGGAGAAGGTCGAGGGGAGGAGGAGGAGGAGGAGGAGGGGGAGGAGGAGGGGGGGAGAGGAGCAAGAGGAGGAGGAGGAGGAGATGAGGAGGAGGAGGAGGAAGAGGTGGAAGGAGGAGGAGAAGGGAGGAGGTCCGCCTAAGCCCTTCGGGGAGCCCTCCACCCTCCACTAGTTCAACCACCCCCCTTTTACCGCCCCCGTGCTTCTTCCCTCGAGCTGCAGAGCCGGGCAGCGCTGGCCGCCGCTTGGAGGCGGCAGCTGCTCAGCACCGCCAGCATCCCTGGCCATGGCCGCTCCCGGCCCTTGGAGGGCGCACGCCTCCAGACCTCGACCGGGCACCACCCTTCTCCCCCCCTCCCCCATCCCCCTCCTCCTTTTTCTCCTCCTCCTTCTCCTCCTCTCTCCTCCTCCTCCTCCTCCTCCTCTCTCTCTTCCTCCTCCACTACTCCCCCTCCCCCTCCTCCTCTTCTTCGTCCTCCTCCTCCTCCTCCTCCTCCTCTCTCTCCTCTTCCTCCCTCCTCCTCCTCACCCTCTCCTCCTCTCCTCACCTCCTCATCTCATCTCCCTCCCTCCATTCCTCCTCCTCCTCCTCGTTCTCGTTCTCGTTCTCGTTCTCGTTCTCGTTCTCGTTCTCGTTCTCGTTCTCGTTCTCGTTCTCCTCCTCCTCCTCCCCCTCCTCCTCCTCCCCGAGCCCCAGGAGTGGCCTTGACCAGGAGATGGTGGGACGCTGCCTCGCCAGATGATCCTCAGCACGTGTGGCAGCTACAGCGTGTGCTTGTCCATCGGAGCCCTTCGATGACGACGCAGGCGGCGCGGTGCGGGCCGGCACGGGCTGCACGGTGTCGGCGGAGCCGAACGGGGAAACCGCGCTGGGCTACCGCACCCCTGAGATCCGACGTTGCGAACAAATTGCAACAGCGCGAAAAATGATGACGGGAGAAACTAGACTCCATCCGTCTGCGCCATTTTTGGAACCGGATGAATCTCTGAGGGGCATGGGGCCTGAAATAGGGCGAAATCGCATGGCGCGAAACAAGTCCGACGCCAGGATCTCCAGGTTGTCCTCAGGATCATCGACTCCCGCGCCCGCGCTCGCGAGCCTCCGCTTTGGAGGCGCCCGCTAGGCGCTCACTCGGAGGCCGTCCCCAGCGCCTCCTCGCCGCCCTCCTCCGGCGAGCGCTCGCCATCCTGCGGCGTCCGCAGCAGCAGGGCGTCCGCTGGCACCGGGCCTGCCGCCCAGGGGCGGCGCGCTCGTAGCGCAGCGGCGGCCGCCGCCGAGGCGGCCACGGCGGCCGCCAACACGGCGGCCAGCGCGCCGGCCGTTCCGGAGGGCGCGCTGGCGCCGCCGCCCGCCAGGGGCGCGGCTGCTCGACTGCCAGGGTTGGCCGCCACGTCGGCGGCCAGCCGCACTGGCGGTTGCGGGGCCAGCTCCTCGGGGCAGGCGATCTGCGAGGTCGCGCAGCACCACTCCTGCTTCTCCCGGGCCCACTTGGAGCGGTCGCCGTGGCCGCAGTCGTGGAGCGGCACCTCCTCGGGGCAGGCGATCTGTGAGGTCGCGCAGCACCACTCCTTCTTCTCCCGGCGCCACTTGAAGCGGTCGCCGTGGCCGCAGTCGTGGAGCGGCACCTCGTCAGGGCAGGCGATCTGCGAGGTCGCGCAGCACCACTCCTTCTTCCTCCGGGGCCACATGAAGCGGTCGCCGTGGCCGCAGTCGTGGGGCTGGTCCGGCGGCGGCGGCGGCAGTTCCTCGGGGCAGATCTGCGCGTTCGCGCAGCACCACTCCTGCTTCTCCGGGGGCCACGCGGCGCGGTCGCCGACGCCGCAGTCGTGGGGCGGTAGCTCGGGGGTCGCGGCGTCCCCGCCCACCGCCTCGCCGGCGCCCTCGGCGCCGGCGCCCGGCGGCGCCGCCTCCTCCGGGGGGCTCCGCGAGCTCGTCTCCACGCCCGGGGTGGTCGCTCCGAGGGCGCCGTACCTGATGTTGGAGAACCTGGCTGAGGCGCCGGCAGCGGTCTCCTCCACCACCGCCGCGTCGCCCTCGCTCCTCGAGCAGGGGCCGCGGAGCACGCCGGGCACGTCGTCAGGCAGGTCCTCGGCGGCAGAGTCCAGCCACCGCATGGCGGTCGCGGGGTCGTCCCACAGGGAGAAGACGAGCACCATCCCACGGGCGAGCGCCTCGCCCATGGCTCGGAGGCCACCCGCGTCCCTGAACTTGTTGAAGGGCCCCTTGTCTTGCCCGGGTTTGCGGCACGCCTTGAACGCCTCCTTCTCGGCATCGCAGAACGACGGTGTCAGGGAGTTGCCGTGAACCCCTTCGAGGCCCTTCGGCTTGGGACTCTCGATGACCCTGCCACCCTGCACGTAGAACTGCCGGATCTCCACCAGCTCCCCCGCGTCGGTCTCGTCGGAGGTGAGGAACTGAGTCACCACTGTGAAGGGTGCCTTGGAGTCGACGCCGGACCCGCCCGGCCCGAAGAAGTCCTTGTTGCCCAGCCGGTACGGGTTGAAATCGCACCCGTCCTTGTCGCACACGCCCATGTAATGGTCGCCGGTGGCTTCGTCGCCAGCATCCGCGCCGGCGACTCGCTGGGGTCCCACCGCGGAGCACGGGTGCGCCGTGAACGCCATGCTCATCGTGTTCGCCTCGAAGAGGTCCATCTCGGGGCAGCAGCTGGCCCAGTGGCCGCCCCTCGCGGGGTCCCAGTCCTGGGGTGACAAGAACAACGCAAGCATGTAAAAACTTTCGGAGGTCCGCGCGGACTTCTTGGAGCACCCCAGGGGGGGGGCCGACACCCCCGCGCTTGGGCATCAAACTAGGGTGCTGCGGGTACGGCGCTGGAGGCGCCGCCAAGGGGGCCCAACACCAATCCAAGAAATACGTGCGGAACTCCGAAAATTCATGTTCATGCCGTTTCTTATATTCCTTCGTATTGATCTTATTATTCTTCTTATTAATATAATTATTATGTTTCGGAGTCCTGCAGGTTGGCCTCTCCATCGATGAACTTCTGGCCGTGGGGGCACTGAGCGTCGCAGTATCCGGTCCCAAACTTGGCGCCCGCTGGGCTGCGGCCGCCCTTGGCGTCCATCTCGACCATGTACAGTGCAGCGTTGAGGCCGCAGGGCAGCGTGGACACGTCGACGTCGAATGCAATCTCACGATTCTTCAGCCGGATGAAGAAGAAACGTCTGCACAGACATGCACACTCGGAGGCCCGCGCCGGCTTCTCGCATCGGCGCTGGACCCCCCCCCCCCCTCTGGAGCGCGGAGCGCGGCTTTGGCGGCGTCGGAGGCGCCGCCAAGGGGGGTCGAGTGCCGACCCAAGAGATCGGCGCGGACCCCCGAAAGCGTATGCTTGAACACTGTTTTCTTCTCCGAGCTGGAACAGCTTGTACGTGTCGTCGTTCTCCATCACGTACAGGCGGGAGCCCACCGTCCTCGGGGAAACCACAGATGATACCTATCCGCCACCGTGCCCTGAGGCCCGAGTTGGAGTGTGCTCGGGTCCTGGGTCTCATCCCTGAAACCTCAATTCTCGATCCTGATGGTTGTTTCAGAGGCCCGGACCCCAAATTGCCAAATCTCTTGGGGCTCCTGGCGTGACCCCTGGGCTCACCCGAGTGTTCCCGCAGAACTTCTGCAGGGCCAGAAGGGCTCCAAGACGGGCTAACAGAGCCCCAAGAGGCCGCCCAGACAGTCCAAGGGTGCCCCGACTCGCCAAGATGGCCCAAGAAGCCTTCGAGACGCCCCAGGAGAGCTCCAAGAGCCTTCCGAAGAGGGCCCCGAGAGGCCAAAATCGTTGATGCTCCATCGGGTTTTCAATGTGTTGTCGGTTCTCCACTTTTCGAGCTTCCGACGATCCAAGACGTCCTACGAGGCCCACAAGAGGCCTCCAAGACGGGTTCCAGAGTCCCTCAAGAGAGTCCCAGAACGGCCCAAGAGGGCTCCAAGACGGCCCAAGAGGCGCCCAAAACGGCGCAAGAAGGCCCCAAGATGGCCCCAAGAGAGGCCCAAGAGAAACACGAACCGAAAAGCTGAGCCTCCCGCGCCGAGAGGCGCCCAGGAGGCCCCAAGAGGCCCCCAAGAGGCCCCAAGAGGCCCCAAAGAGGCCCCCCAAGAGGCCCCGAGAGGCTCCAAAACAACACCCCCGAGGCATCAAAACTGCCTCCAGCCCTCAGACAACCCAGGCACGGTGGCGGGATGGGCCGAAGGCAGCGAAACCTGCTTGGCAAGGGGACTGAGATCGCTCGTACTCCGTGAGGTCGCGAGATCGCTTGCTCAGTGTGTTGGAGCCCTCTTGGTGTTAAGACTTTGGCACGTCATAAAAAAGTGCTAACAAATAACATGGCGAACATCAGTGAATGTAGCCTCTCCAGGCCTTCGTGGGGGTCCGCTTAGGGCTCCTTTGGGCCGTCTTTGGGCCCTCTTGGGTCCTCCTGGGGCCCTCGTAGGGGGGCTTGGGCCGTCATAGGGCCCTCTTGGGAACCTCCTGTGGCCCTCTTGGGGCTCCCTTGGGGCTCCCTTGGGAATCAGTTTAGGCCCTCAAGGCCTCTCTTGCGCCGTCGTGGGGCCCTCTGGAGCCGTTACGGAACACTCTTGGGCCGTCTTGGGGCCGTCTTCGGGGCCTCTTGTGCCAACTTGGGGGGATCCTGGGGACCCCAGAGGCCGTCGTGGACGCTGTGAAGACCAAAGAAACAAACACGGTAAACGTGCACGTCTTCTTAGACGATGTTTGCCTCTTGGGCGTCCTGTTGGAAGCCTCGCGGAGTGTGGAGGCCCTCTTTGGCCGCCTTGAGGCCATCCTGTGCCCTCTCTTAGCGCTCTCGGGCCGTCTTCTGGGCCCTATTGGGCCTCCCCCGAGAGCCACTGTGGCGGTAGCCTGGGCGCTCCCGGGGCTGCCTGTGGGCCGCCCCTTGGGGGCCCTCTGTGCGGGGCTCCTTCGGGCTGCCTCGGGCCGCCCAGGGGCCGAAGGCGACGGACAACTGCGCCACTAGAGCTGGGCCCGCCGAGGCCAACCCACTCACACCCCCCCTTGTCGCAAGTCGGGCCTGTCCCTCTACAGGGGGAATATTCAGAAATGGTCAAACAATTATGGGGACGATGTTTCTACTATTTTTGGCTGTTTCATGTGTTGGGTACGTTTAAGTTTTCCTCCGGACTCCGCCTGTAGGGGGAAATGCCCGGGGGCGCACAATTATGGATTGGCGATCCATGGATTTGGTGCGCGGTCGCCAGATCCAAGGATCAGGGGAGGTGCCCTCCCCAAAGTGCGGCCAGTGGCCGCCTCGCTCGGCGGCGCAGATCCGCGACTGCCCATGGCAACGGGACCCGCCGCTGATCCACGCCCCCTCGATCCATGTTTGCAATCGCCTGATACGCGCGCGTTCCGTCATCCGCCGCCCCCTGCGGTGAGGAGGAGGAGGAGGAGGAGGAGGAGGAGGAGGAGGAGGAGGAGGAGGAGGAGGAGGAGGAGGAGGGGTGCACGGCGTGCCAAGTGTCTGACAGGTTCTGCGCCCGTCTCGAAAGCACTCTCCGTGGCGTCTCGGCCCCGCCCGCCGCCCACCTGGAAAGCTCCTCAAAATCCCTCCTGAGTTGGTTCAACCGCCTCCAGCGCGGCTGAGATGGCCCAAAATGGCCGCCAAGATGGTCCCACGACGCCTCCAAGACGGCCAACAAGGCCCCGGGAGAGCCCAAGATGGTCGAATCGTGTTGCCAAGACGGCCCAAGGCGTGCTCATAGTGGCCCAAGATGGCCTCAAGATCGCCCAAGATACCCCACAAGAGGCCTCCAAGACTGCCCAAGAAGCCTCCAAAAGGATACTCAGGAATGCTCGAAACGTTCAAAAGCAGTGATTTCTGTTTGGTGCTTGAATGTTTTTGGCTTTTGCTCCGTTTCGGCCTTACGACGGCCCAAGACGGCCCAATAGACCCCGACGATCGCTGCGAGAACGCCACAGGGTCCAAGAGGCCTCCCAGAGGCTCAAGATAGCCTGCAAGCCAGCCAAGATGCCCCCAAGAGAGCCCAAGATGGTCGCAAGCTGTCTCCAAGACTGCCCAAGATGCACCCACGACCACCTAAGATAGCCTCCGAGTGGCTCAAAACGGCCGAGAAGCTCCCAAGAGTCTCCGCAACGGTCCAAGAGGCCTCCAAAATCACACGCAGGAAGGCCCGAGGGAGCGGAAAACATTGATGCACCCTAGGTGTTTGAAGGTTTTGGGTCTTTGAAAGTTTTGTGCTGTTGCTCCCTGTCGGCCTTCCGACGGCCCAAGTGGGCCCAAGACGGCTCCCAAGACCGCCCGGGAGGCTTCCAAGATGGCACCATGACGGCCCAAGAGACCACAGAGACGGCCACAAGAGGACCCATCGACGGACCAAGAGACCTCCAAGATGCCCAAAAGACGGCCCAAGATGTACCCAAGACGATCCAAGATGACTTCTCAATGTCCCAAGATGGCCACGCGAGGCCACCGAGACAGCCCAAGAGGCCTCCAGGGCTTCCTCCAGGACGGCCAGAAGGAGTCAGCATCATTGATGCTGATCTGTGTTGTTGGCGATGTTGGCATTTGCTCCAGTTCGTCTTTAAGAGGCCCCCAAGATCGCAAAAAGATCGCCCAAGAGGCCTCCAAGATGGCTGGGACGGCAAACATGACCCAAAACGGCCCAGAAGGCCTCCAAGACGCCCAAGGTGGCCGTCAAGACGATCCTGAAGCGAACGCCGTGAGACGGCCAAAAAGGTCCCCAAGAAGCCCCCAAAGACCCACAAGAGGCCCAAGGAGGCCCCCAAGCGGCCTCCACGATGCCCCCAGGAAGCTCCCACGAGGTCCCAAGAATGACCCAAGAAGGTCCCAAAAGGTCTCCTCATCCTCCTTTGTCCTCCCTCGCCTCCTCCTCCTCCTCTTCCTCCTCCTCCTCCTCCTCGTATTCCTCCCCCACGTGTTCCCCGAAGGGCTTCCACAACGGCTGGGGGGCCGCATGGTCAAATAGCGTGGCAGAACTTTGCCCGAACGTTTGGACACATAGGCGTATGCTAATAGGCAGAGGGCGGCGGTAATTCGCCGTAGGCGTCTTCGATCCGCCGCCCCTTCGCTTGCCACAGGGGTGCACGTCGTGCCAAGCGTCAGGTAGTTTTTGGTTTTGCTACACGTTTCTGGTAGGACTTCGGCCCAACCCGCCAGCCACCGGGAAGGACGCCCAAGGAACGACAAGAAGGAGACTGACCGGAAAGCTGGCCTCCAAGATGGCTGCCAAAATGCCTCCAAGACGGCCAAGGTGGCCTCCAAGCCGGTCCCAAGGCGCCTATCAGACGGCCAAGATGGCCCCAAGACGTCCCAAGATGTCCTCCTCACGGCCCAAAAGGCCCCTCAGACGCCCCAAGAAGGCTACATGAGGACCTCCAGCCTTTTCGGGCGTCCGACGCTCCAAGACGCGCCATAGGTCCCCAGGATCGCCCCAAGACAGCCCAAGAGGCCCCCAAGAGACACGCAAGAAGGCACAAGAGGGCCCCAAGACAGCCCAAGAGGCCTCTAAGACGGCCCCAAGACGGCCCCAAAGACCTCCAAGACCGCCCATAAAGGTCCCGAGAGGCCCGATGCCCAAGAGGCACCAGAGAACCCTAATAGGTGCCAAGAGGCCACCAGGTGCCTTAGAGCCCCCCATCCACCCCAAAAAAAGCTCAAGAGGGGCTCAAGAGGCCTTCTCATCTTCTTCTTCTGCTTCTGCTTATTATTATTATTCTTCTTCTTCTTCTTCTCTTTCTTATTCGCCTTCTTCTCCTTCTTCTCCGTCTTACTACCTTTGATATTATCATTATTCGTAGTCGTGCCCTTCCTCTTATTTGTGTGTTTTCTCCCTCCTCCTCCTCCTCCTCCTCCTACTCCTTCCTCCCTCTTTCTCTTCCTCTCCCAAGTGTTCCCCCAAGGGGTCCCACAGCGGCTGGGGGAAGACAGTCCAATAGCTTGGCCAGACTTCGGCCCAACGTTTGGCCGCATGGGCGTTTCCAAAAGGCAGGGGGCGGCGGTGATTCGCCGTAGGCGTATTAGTTACCATTAGTCACAAGACTCCTCTCCCGCGGTGCGTTCTGACCAGAGTCTCGAGGCCAACCCAGCCGTGGCGACGAGGGCCCTCCAGGGAGGCCCCCAAAGGCCAAGACGAGGGAAGGCAACGGCATCGGTATCTTTCCCCTCTCTGACCCACCGTCCTGCCGAAGTCCGACGCGGTGACGAAGCCCAGCTCGAGGCCGCGCCCGTCGGACCTGACGCCGTAGAGGGCGCCGTAGTCCTCGGGAGCGATGCCCTCGAGCATGCAGGCTTCCGCGCAGGCCGCCGGGTCCTTGCACACGTCCTTGTTCCACGCCTCCTTCTCCATGCAGTCCCTCAGCTCCTCCACGAGGAGCAGCAGAACAGCCAGTGAGCAGAAGCTGTCGGAGGCTCGCGCGGGCTTTCGTGCGTCGGCGCGCCGTGCGCCAGGGCCGGCGCGGTGTGGCCCCGCGGGGGGGGGAGGGGGAGGGAGCGCCGACCCACGAGACTCGCGCGGACCTCCACAAGTTGCTGCCCATGCCGCACACGGAGCGCCGACTGAGGAACGGAAGGCTTGCCATCGCTCGGACGTCCAACCCCCGTGCAGGTGTGTCGGCTTCGTGCGTTGCTCTCTGGCTTAAGGATCCAGGATGATCATCGATGGCCCTCGCCGAGGCAAACACGCACACGTCCGAGCGGCGCCAAGCAGACGGAACGCTGACCGAGGAACGCAGGGGCCTTCCTTTAGGTCGGGCATGTCCCCCTACAGGCAGATGTTGGAGGGAAATTTTTAGATATTCGAAACGTATTCAAAAATAAGAGAAGATAGTCGCAAAATCGTCCCACACTATTTGTTTACTATGTTTCTGCAGTACTATTTTTGAATATGCCTCCTGTAGAGGGACCTGCCCGCCATAAGCCTTCCTGGCCTCCGCGAGCCTCGGGAACCCCATTCAGCTTCCACGACCCTGGCTCTCAGCCTCGGGGCCGGCGTGCGCGCTGGCACGCGAACAGGCCTCCTTCCTCCTCCTCCTCCTCCTCCTCCTGCTCCTTCTCCTCCTCCTCCTCCTCCTCCTCCTCCTCCTCCTCCT